CGTTAATCAGATGTATTTACTACTATAATATACATTGATCCACGTATTGTTCACATATACATGGAAAACACGTCTTATTTGGTGCGATGGCTTAATGGCTAAATTATCACACTAGTGAGCCTCGTCCTTGACCTGTATGATAAATTAATATTATAGGTAGGTAGGTGCAATAATGGCCAGGTGCAGTTTTTTCTGTTATTGCCGTATGGGCAATATCATTTCAATAAATAGTGATTTACGATGTAAAACGAAATTTAATTATTTTTTATTTTCATGCATGAAAAGAGTACCTGATATTAATATATATATTGTTTGACAATTGTAATTAAACAATTATTTTTCCTTATACTTTTTCTTTGAGTTACGATTTTGGACTCCACCGATAATTTACCCGATTTATATTCAAAGATATACGCAGAAAACGAGATATCAGACTAAAAGTTTATGGAGAGTAGAATAAATTATACAGTTTGTTTAACTCTAATCGACTGTAATATTGAATTATAAAATAAGGAAATTGAAATAAAAATAAACTTCAACAATATTTATACAATTTAGTTTGACAGTCCGTATCGATAAAAAATGTGTAAACTAAAACACGATTTATTATCATATGAATCATTATGGGTAGAATTTACAATTCATATCATAATTCTCATTAATAAGTCCGTTTAATTGTTCATAATCTTATGTATTAAGTTCCTAATTAGTAATTAGTTATTATACTACTGTAGGTGTCAATAATTTAAAAAAAATGTGTAGTCACCATAAAAGGGAAAAAGTGTTTCAAGTCGATAGTTATAAAAATAAAAATACGTACACCTAAGTACCTATAAACAATTACTACATGGCGTTTCTGACAAGCTTAGAATTTTCCGCTCATCTTCCTTTACAGCATTTTAACATTTCATGTACAAGCTAAATGTTGTAGTAAAAATATTAAATTCAATAAAATTACCAGTTTGTTTTGTTTTGTTAGGGTTTATTACGTTATTTAGATTTAAGTAAAAAAGTTTTACACATTTGACGCATAAAGTCTTTGTATTTTAAATGTCTGTAAATTAACATAATATTATTAATGTCAATATAACAATATATATACTGGTGTTTATTGGATTATAATTAAGTATATGAACGCGAGTCGCTATTCAATACTGCAATGACAAAAGTAAAATATTTGAACTAAAATTACCCATGATACATTAATACTCAAATACATTATAACAGGTACGTTAAGTTATAATTTATAACAAATGTATAAATAAGTGTAATGAAATATTAATTTTCATTAAAACGTGAGCAGTGGCCAGTGAGTAACATTTATCAAGTACCTACCAATTAACAATATCAATAAATTTGATTTTTAAATCGAAAATGTAAAAACAAAATTAGTACCTTCTAACTGTAAGTGCAATACCTATGTTAAAATTGTTTTAAATCTGAGCACATTTAGTGTTTACTGCACATAGATGGTTTCAAACATTGAGAGATTTTGTGAGCGTTATTATACTTTAACAAGGTTTACGTAATGTCAGTGATTAATTAATGGGGTGCGTACCCTTAAAAGGAACGACTATACGACATTTAAGGGAAAAGGTTGATTTCACCCCTGTTTAATCGAATTAAACCTAAATTTCAAGTGTTTCCTACAACATAAAAACAAGAGTACAAGACTGAATTATATTATAACTCTCATTGGTCCGTTAGAGTCGACAAAAACATATAATAATGATAATATAGTAATAATAACAACAATTGTGTAGAAATAATTTTTCTTTGTATAATGAGTAATGACTAATGAGTTGTATTTAAATACTCACATCCCGGGTCCGTACACTTGTCCACAATCGTGTCGACGCACTTCATCACATCCGCCTGTTTGTAACAACAGCAAAAACTCACGTTGGACATTTTAATTAACAAGTGGCGGTGACAAAAAAAAAAAATTAATATCAATAACAAAAAAATCAAATAAGAAAACTACAATCTAATATTGTTGAGAAGCTTTAGAACAATTTTCGGAGAACCTATCGTATCCGCACGAAAGAAATTGTGAAGTATATAGGTAGTATCGTAATTTACTGAACAATAATATATATAGTTTATAATAATATACTAGACGATCTACGCGGGGCTGACGAGATGTTCGCAATTATTGTCGTCCGAGTCAATCCTAACGTATTTCCCACGTATATATATATATATGCTAGAAGAAACTCTGTCGGGGCAAACCGAATTCGTGCGGACAATTAATAAACGACGAGCGTGGAAACTGAGAAAATGGAAAATACGGGAAAACGGATCAATCCGTCGGTGGTCGGTGGAAATCGCGCGTGGAACGCAACTATATACGGTATAAACGTGCGATCGTCGCACGAGATGACGTCGGCTTGACGACTGAGGAGCGCGACGGCGACGTATAATATACCACCGGCAAAGCCCGTAGAGCACTGACCGCGCGCGCGCGCGCTTTGGCCGATGCGCTCGGCGGCGGGTGCCGCTCGAGAAAAGCTCATTCGCGAAACGTCGCCACCGCCTCTCACATATTCATGGGCCGCGGCTCGCGACCCCTGTAGCGAAAATACCACCGCCGCTTTCCCGGCGCCAGTGTTACGGAGGCGTGTTGTGTGGGGTGTCTCATACATGGGTGCCTATACGGTACCCACTGTTCTCGTCCGCGCTGCACTGGGTTTTCGAGTGCGTTTTCGTCGGACCGCAATGATATATTGCTTGCTGGCGGTGTGCCAAGACGATCGCGTCAAATGTGTTGTATGATATTATACCTAAGCGATATCGAAGATGTGTCGTCCCGAGGGGCGATACGATGTGGGGGCTGTTGTGGCCGCTTCGAAAACCGTAGAAATTATTAATACCGTCTATACTCATATATATAGGTACCTGACATTTAGTGATCTGTATAAAACGGAATTGTCGGAATCTATAAAAAGCGCTCGATTCGGTATTAATGGTATTATAGAATGATTTTTAGATATATCGTTGTAAGACGGCCTATTTGAGGACTACTCGTTGGAATTCAGTTTTACATGGCTAAGGAATAATTGTTTAAAAATAATCCGCTTAAAAATTTACAGGAAAAAAATTGGATTTTTATTTATTTTTTTTAACTTTGTTGCAGAACAGTTTTAAATATTACAAAAAAACTAAATATTTTAAAACAAGGTCCGTGTGTTTAAAAACTCGAAAAATAAAAATTTGAACGAATTTATAATATCAAAGAAAAATGAGGAGGGGGGGGGGGAAAGCACGCTTGGTGAATCATCCCATGTAATATACTATGCATTGTTATGTTACATATTCTATATTTAATATAGTATAACTGTGTGTGTATATCCAGATTGGAGTTTTTTTTTTTAATTATCGAAAACCAGACTAGAGTTTCTATTATTGTGAGTATCTTGCAGCTTTACTTTTGTTTTAAACTTTTTAAGGACATTACTTTTTCTAAGAACAGGAGAACAAAACAAAATTTAACTTTAAGTGCTGTCCTTTACATTCATAGGATGTTTGGTACTTTCTTTAAATTTATTATTCTTTTAATCGATGGAGGTAGTTTTAAAAAATTGTATCGCTATTTTAATAAAGGTAATATTTTGGACAAAGTCAGGAAGTGTGTAATTAAAATTATGGAAAAAAACTTTAGATATTGTGAAAAAGTGTCACTTATTAATTGCTCCTTTAATTGAATACTTCGAATTATACTGGCGAATAAAATTATTATATATACCAGCGTCAGCCCTAGGTTTTTTTAACAAGAATTTGAATACTGTAAAGTTCTTGGAATCCAAACAAAAAAATGTTTGCTTTGAGATAAAATACAAAACTCACTCTGTATACGCATTTTATATTATAAAATATAGAGGACATATCATATGCATTGCACTTTACACGTCTTGTTGGTGAATTTCCGAGAAATTCCGTGTGTCAGCATCAGTATAAATGTCACACACCCGTGTTTTATGTTTGAAAAGCAACAACAAAGTGTCAATATCAGATTTGTGCACCTTGCCCCTTCGAAGTGTTTTTCTAACGTGGAACCTTTACGATATAGTTTCCTGCAAGTATGATTTTTGTTTTGTTTTGAAACTTGATTTGTTTGTGCTTTTAGGTATACGCATTAGACTGTTATTAATATTGATAGAGTTGAAGATGACATTTTTTGAAGGGCTATTATTATATACTGTTATATGATTTTATCATTAATAATATATTTTCCAATTCCTCTCTATTTAGACTTTCAAGTTGTGCATTATGTATTGCAATCTTTCTATTCGATAATTATTTAATCGATTATAAGACTAATAGACTTAGTACATTATATAAAGTATAAACACTATAATTGATTAATGGTGTTGATAAAAATAATGAATTTCTATATTGCAAATGGATTATTCTCTTTCGTGACTTCAGCAATGAAACAAATGAAACGTTCAAAAGTCTATGTCAATACCGCAGTCACAAATAGACTAAATTGTTTTTGTTTATGAGGCGGGAGGAGTCTAGGTCATTTTGAAGGAAATATAATTTTAATGGTATATATTTTGACATTATTTATCCCCGATTTTATTTTACCATGAACCAAAAAACTGTGATGTATGTTAGGTATATTTATTTAAGACTTATGCAGTGGCGAAACTAACTCAAAAAGTTGTGTGCAATAGCGAGCATTTTCATCTTTCGTCATTAATTTCGATTTAATCTGGCGGTTAGGTGATAACAGATTTCGGTGGCAACTATTTTATTGGATTAGAGCGGGCGAACTACAGGTCGCGAAGTCTGGTCAAATAGAACTTCATAAATTCATAATGTTTATAAGTCTTGGGTACTGCGCATTATGCTACTATTTTTCTAAAATGTTAATTCATTTTTTATATCAAACAATATTTCATGGTTTACACACACCCAGCCGGCAGCCATATAGGCGTATTGTACAAACTATAAAATGTAAATTTAAATGGAATAAAATAAAACTATATTATTTACCCTTTGCATATTGTGTTTATTGTTAATCATATTAGACATATTATTATACGTTGATCATTTTACAACCCTGTTGTTTCTACTGGGTGTACAACTCTTGTGATTTCTGAAATCAAATAATAGAAATACTAATGATATTACAATATGATACAATAAAATATTGAATTTCTTAAAAACACTATTCTACATGTAATTGATATTATAATATATGTATAATAAATATAATGTAGATAACGATAACTGTTAGGTATAACAATTTAGGTACCAATATTTTTCACAACATATTTTACAACAAAAAACATACACCTACTCAATAGTCAATATACCTATACGTACATATACAAATAAGAGTATAACTCGAAAAACCTTATTTTAATAAATAACAGTGAACATTTAAAATTATTTTGTACTTCTATGTATTTATATCTTTTCAATTTTAGACGATGGACGGAGCGATGAATGTACTATTGATTTTACATTTACAATGATGTTTGTTTTTATTATTTATTTTGTGTCTGTCATCACTAGGGCCCGGATTTTTATGCAAATGCATATTCAGATATTCTTCTACATTTGACGTATAATAATATTCTGATTAAAATATTAAATATCTTGACGTTTCATAAAACGTAGATTCTACTGTTAATTTTTTATTTTGCATATTTATGACTCATCACTTTTTGGAGCAGTAAAAATGCTTCGATTATTTCGATTTCCTACTTCAGCATTTTTTTTGGTATGAAAATAAAGTTAGTTGGTACTTTGGTGTTATTGAACAATTCTCAATAGTTTTCAAAAGTGTAAGGAAAAATAAAAAATAAACTCTGGAAAAAACTAGATTTTCACGGAAAATCGGTTTTCGACAAAGTCAATTTTGTTTTTGGCGGAACTCTAAAAAAAATAACCTCAGATACACTAAATGTTTGAATTTTTTATGCACCCTAAGATTTAAAAAACATTTCGACTCTTTTTGAGCTGTTATGGGCATTGGACAATTTCCTCAATAAAGGACCCAGTTATATAATATCGAACACGGCAAGGATTAGACGTCGATCATTTATCATGACGTCTTCAACTACATTGAACGAAATAGATTTGGACGAGACGTGTGAGCTATTACGCTCCGAGTCGACTAACGAAACTCTAATTTTCCATGCAAAATATATATTAAGGTGATACCCCGGAAACGGAAATTCGTGCGCCGTCCAACGCGATAGTCCCAATTAAGCAGTCGAAGATCGATACCAAACCCTGCAATTTGGAGGTACCGGTAATTTAAATTACAATATTAGTATATTACACAAAGTACATACACATTCTACCTCATTATATGTTATAAAATCATTTTTTTCTGAAAAATTGCGAAAAAAAAGGTATGACTGCTTTATATTTTAAATAATTTCAAATTTCAAAGTCTCCACGATTCAAGTTCTCGACCCCCTGCTTGTTAATCCCTGCATTATATTATGTAGGTCACAATCGTACATTTTACATTTATAGTTTATATTTTAAGCACTTCAACTCAGTTAAATAATATATCCACACACATTTTACAATGAAGTCGGTGTACCTATATACTTATATTAATATATATTTAAAACTTAAAGACTATAGCATTATTGATAATATAAAATAGATTAATTTACCTAATAGTTTCTCATCAACGAAATGTGTGAATTTAATATAAACAAGTTAAACCTTACATAGGTAATCTATTATTTTTATAGTTTGCAGTTATATTGCAATTGACAAATTAATCAGGAAACAGTTTAAGTGAAAAAAAAAAGCAAAAACAGTAGATACCTAAACTGTAGTTACGATAACATAACCTTCGATGTACTGTTTGCCTACATGCATAGGATTTGAAATATTGCATACAAATTACTGACTATTAAGTATTATAAGGTTATTTTAAGCGGAATAATTAGTATGGAAAATATACAGTTTTTTAATGTTCAACTTTTTTTATAATGCTATGGTATGATTTGTATTATATATTTTCATTGGCGTACTCGTATAATATGATGTAGGTAACTATTAATTTACTGATTGTAGTTTTTATTTACTATAATCATGGTCTCTCGGCCTATTATTTATCGACATTAATTACGTTCATGTCAATTGTCATTGTCAACCCTACCACCGTCCACCGTGCCGGTAAAAATGTATGAAAATTCGGAATTCATAATTTATATTTATTTATATCTATGTAGCTCGCATCCAGATAAGTTGGGTAATAGATTTATACATTTAAGTTGAGCACCCATCGATTCTTACAAATGTTATATTAAAATATCGTAAAAATACATTTTAGTTGACAGTTATTCACCGCAGCATTGTATACTTTAATTCAATTATTTCAACAAAGCATTTCTGTAAAATAAATAAAATGTGTGACAATTGTCAATATAATAATGTCGAATGAACGATTTTATACTACATTAATAGATTATAATAATTATGATAGTTATTCTTCCTTGATTAAAAATAATAATACTCAATTGGATCACTATAATCCCTGTAGAATAGATTACATAAGTGATAAGTGTCTATTTATAATATCAACTTCGAAGTCTTAAAATATAAAGATATTTACCCAAAAATGCACAACAGCGATATGTTGGATATAGGTTACAGAGACCCTATAGTTATGTTATTCGTAATTAATTTTACTAAAGTTTCAATATTCACCAAAATATTTAACAAACATGTTAAACGTAATTCCTTTTATACTTGCATCTGATGTAAATATTAATGTTTTGAATATTCAAAAGCTTACAAACTGTGAACGTTATCCAGGATTAGTGATCATACACTCACACTTAATTTAGTTTGAATGAAAATTTAATATGTGTTCAAGCCACTCTGTAAATACAGAATTTTATCAATTTTAAATCATAAATTTAATCAAGTAAACCATATAATAATAATTATCTCTATCGTAACTTTAGCGTTTTTACTGCATAAAATACTAATTTTATTATTTGTAATGCGTACTATATTTTGTTACTTTATCTTACATAATATTATTTTATTTATTAATTTTTTCTTTTTTTTCTTTATTCTTGATTTCCTTTACGATTCTTTATTGTGAAATTGGTGAATACTATTTCTACACGTATATCGTTGAATGTTATTTTAGTAAGTATATGTGTTATTTGTTACCTATACATTATTACTATATATTTTAAACATGTTCAAAGTTCAAACTGTCTTCTGGCTTAATACATTTAATATTATTATCGGTCATGACTGATTTATGATGTAGACATTTAGTTATCTCATAAAGAAACAAATAATTGAAGAATTCAAGAATATAAATTACCAAAATTAGCCATACTTTTTCAGGTTAACTATAATATTCATGTTATAGAAAACATTTTTATACTAATTCATAAATAATTATATGTTTATTTTTCTGTAGATGGCAGAAAGTAAAAAGTAGATATTTATTTTAAAATTATTTAACATTATTTTAGTTCCAGAATATGAGTATTAACTATAATATTTAAAAAAAAACATTTACAGAAACAACATATTTACAAATCATATTTTACTTTTCAAACTGTATGTGTCTGTTGCTTATAGTTTACATCAGTGGTCTCCAACCGGTAGTCTACGAGAACATTTTGCAGGTGGTAAATAAAATTCAAGAAAATTACACAGCGAGACAAAATTTGAATAAATTAATCTTATTTTTTTGGTGTAACTCAAAAACTATAACCTTAGGCACTTGAAATTTTCACCAAAAACTTTTGTTTTGAAAGCAGTTCACAAATATTAGAGATTTATAGGAAGTTACTTTTTATATACATTTTACGTTCAAATGTTGAAAAAATTCATCATAATGTATCAAATAATTATTTTTCTGTTAGAAATTCATAAAAAAATTTTTTTCAAGGCGAAAATTTCCCACGAGTTTTTTACTTTGAACAAAAAAAAAATGATCGGAAAGTTACGCAATTTATAGCCATGAGATATTTTTGATTTTTAAAACTTGGCTTTAACTTATAGTATAAACATTACCTATATATAGTTCAATGGGAATTATGGATTTAGGGGTCCCTGGGGTACAAAAAGTTGGTGACCGCTGTTCTACATCAGTGATACATATGTATTGTAATGTACTAATGTATACTCAATGATATTATTATGGTAGAATAATGATCATTGATCAGGTCAAGACGTTATATTGGATACAATTTAGACGATGGTAGTACAGAACCACTTACTAGTATAACTTTAAAAGCTTAAAGCTAAAATTATATCTTCTGACAAAATGTATTTATAATTAATTGAAAACTAGTAACCTACCGTTGTTAGTAACGTTTATTTTTGTTTTGTTTGATGTTTAATTCGATTTCACACAGTTCTCCCTAAGACGCGTGCCATGGTATTTATCTATATTAATTATCTAAGAGGAAGTTAAAACCATTTAAGTCTCAGCATATAACAAATGCGCATAACATTACGCATAATTTTACGTAAGATAAATCCGTCATTGGTACTCCGTGATTTTAATATTAATGTTAATTGACGATTGACCTACTATCAAATTTAAAGGTAACAATACTATCTAGGGCACCTCGTATACAGCTATTTGATATTTTAACTTTGAGGCATGTTATGGGCATTTTAAAACGAACAAAATTTTTTTTAATTTAAAACGCTCATAACTTGCTTAATAATTAATTTGATAGTTATTCAATTCACCCTATAATATTAAAAATAACAGAATGCAATTGATTAGGTATTCTTAACGTAAAATGTGCAATGTTATGCATTAGTAAGCTTAGTATTTATAATCAATGGTAAGACGAATACAGTTCACGCGTGTATTATCAGGTCTTCTAAAGCTTTATACATTTTTTACAAATAATGTTACAGAGTTTCTTGTTTTAAAAAATAATTTAGACTTCAACAGGTCGCAAGAGAAAAAAATTTATTCAAAACGATCATATTATTATATAGTTTGTTGCATGTAATATTATAAGGGCTCGTACGTTATCTTGGAAGTAAATCTACTAGCACTACTGCACTATTAGATTTTATATGCACTAAAAAGTCATGAAATAAACTCTTAAAATTTAAAAATATCAACAAGAA